GGCCCCGCCCCCCCCATGCACCGGGCCCCCCCGGCCCCGCCCCCCCCGCACTGGCCAGGTGAGAGCTCTCTCTCTTCTAGAGTAAGAATAGTGAAAATACAATCGGAAACAGAGCTGGTGAGATGAAATGTGCAAGAGAACTTTTATGTAGCAATAATATAGGAAATCTATTTCCTTAATTTCTCCAGTACCGAAAACCCATCCCTAGTGATCACATAATAGCACAGAATAGAACAGTGATATGCTATTCATCAATGTAAGACACCGTCTTTTCTCCTGTCCTATCTTGCTCTATATGGGCCACAAAGCAAGCCTGGGGGTCGCAGCACAGGGTCAGCCAGCGGGCAGCGCCCCCGTAGCTGGGTGTTAAGGACCGGGGCGTGGGCTCAAGCCAGCAACCAGGACAGAGGCTTAGCTCACATTAACCCCCAGCTCCTAGGGCACTGCATGCTGGCTGTCCCTGCCATGTGACCCCCCCCCCAAGCTCGCTCTCACCTGTGCATGTGTCTCTGTGTGTCCCATGGAGAGAATGATGGGGTAGGTAAAGAGAACGAATTCCCATGGAAAAATCACACGCCCGTGGTCAATTCTAAGTGTCAGTATTCTTTGAACTTACGTTCTCCTCGGCCTCAGCCTTTGGTCACTGTATGGAATCAAGGCCACAAGCTGATTTTCTTGGCCTGTGTGAGAAATGTTTTGATGAAAGAGTTAGTGGCGTGTAATTACATAAGAACATAAGAAATTTACAAAAGAGAGGAGGCCATTCGGCCCATCAAGCTCGTTTGGGGAGAACTTAACTAATAGCTCAGAGTTGTTAAAATCTTATCTAGCTCTGATTTAAAAGAAATCCAGGGTTTTATCTTGCGCTACAATAGCAGGAAGACTATTCCATACTCTAACTACACGCTTTGTAAAAAAGTGCTTCCTCATATTCGTTTTAAAATGATCTCCCGCTAATTTCCACTTATGGCCACGAGTTCTAGTATTTAAACTAATATTGAAATAGTCATTTGGCTGAACAGCATCCAGACCTGTTAGAATCTTATAGACCTGAATCATTTCCCCCCTTAGTCTCCTTTGATCAAGGCTAAACAGATTCAGCTCAGCTAACCTCTCCTCATAAGTCATTCCTCTAAGACCAGGAATCATTCTCGTCACCCTAATTATGTTGCTGGAATGTAATAAGCTACAAAACAAACAGCTCTGCATCTTACAATCATTTTTTTTTGGCCAATGAAAACATCAAGCCCTTGACTAACAAAATGAATCATCACATTGCACACAAACCAACTAAACACAATTACTTAGCAAAGACTCGACAGTGAAACACTACATAGCTGCACTGGTTCACTGTGGCGAAACACACCTCACACTGCAACCCTGGAGGCATCGGGTAACATTTTGACCCAGTGAGCCACCAGGACACTTCTGACTATACAAATGTAGCTTTGGGCTTCACATCTGCATGCACGCTGTTTTTATACAGAAACAATGCTCACTTGTGTCCAGCATGTTTTCATAAAACCATCAGTAACTACTACATACACCTCTTGTCAAAATTGTTTGTCTGATCACACAACCTGTGAATTCACGCTGCATTAAGTGCTATCTGAGCACTGTATATGATTCACATAAGCAGACTGCACAATCATAAGGTTAGATGGAATATAAATATATTATACATCATTACAGAATGTTTTTCAGTGAGGTCCTTTACCTCGAGGAATCCTCCCGGTCCCCTGGCACGTGGGGCAGGTGACACTGTCCCGGCCTGTAAACTCCACGTAGGGAAACTGGGACACGTCCCCGCCCTTGGCATCGTCGCTTTGCGAGTCGGTGTATTCCGGCGCGGACGTGAGGCCGTCGCAAGTCTCGTCTTTATGCTTCGGGAGGTGGGAGAATGACTTCCCCATATCGCGGCTGATGGTGGCAAGTGCGGTTATTAAAGTTCGTTTTGCAGATGCAAGTAAACATGTCTCCACTAAGTTAAACACACAGCGCCTATAAAAACACTATAATTTTAAAAAGTGTGAATCAATTTTAATTCAGTTTAATGACATTTCCTCTGTATTACACAAGAAACATTCCGCAATCAAAACGATGAAATGTGACATTAGGACGGGCAGGTCTCCCTTTTTCCGTGCATATCTACCCCACGCACATCCTAGGCCGCAGATACAGCTTGTTATATAACCAGAAATTGCAAAGTTATATAAGATTAATACTAGCCGCATATTACGGATCCTACAGGGAGAACATTTTACAGAGAAGACAGCTTATAATGATTAAGAGGGACAACAACAACGATCTCAGCTCTGGTAATAAACTAAATTCATTTTAATATTACATTACAATGGTCAAATTTAATTATGCGGTGTTCGGCGATCTTATATAAATGTAAATATGACGGTAGCAATTATCATCTGATCTTTAAAAAAATTTGTGGAGACCGTAGCCCGTTGGTTATTTTCTTAAGCAGGGAAGTGACTAGATGAAACGCACAATATACACATAACCAGTCACATGATCCCCGAACCGCGGATTCATATCTATCTGTCACCGCCTGCTACATCCTATCGTAGTTACAGACAAAAACCCATAAGTCATCACGATCGTCCACTATCTCCAAATAACTAAAAAGTACGTCCAAACGCCGGAAAACAGAGCACATAAAAGGCTAAAAAACAGCCGAAAAACAGGCCAGACCAAGAGCTGTTTTTAGCGTTAGCTACAAAGCACCAGCGGGGTATCAGGGCTAGGATGGGAACAGCGGCTAAATACCGACACCGTCTCTCCCCTATTTGCGTTATCTTTCTTACCTGTGTTTGTTTTATGTGTAGGTGTATCTTTTATCTTTTTATTCCCTGTTAGCTCTGCTCATGGTCTTGATGTTTTCGTCGAAGTGACCGGCGCACTACTAGGCACGATCGCCTGGGTGCCACGTGACCTGGTGTCTCACCGAGCTGGCAGCACGAGGCTGAATTCGGCTGCTTTAACCGCCAGCTTCTTATTCGCAAGATCCGTGCCACCTTAAACACAGGGTGCTGTTTCGACGGGATCCTGCAGAGGGCACTGTGTATGCTCTGAAATTAATCTGTTATGTTAAATGAAATTTATTAAATTCGGAATCTGACTTGTATGCCATGTTTGATTTCCCAGATATAATTATTATTTATCATTTGCAGATATTTCACTGTACATTTTTCAATTTAAAGCCCTCTAAAATTGATTTGTGCCCAGGTTAAAGGCTTCTTATTCACCGTTTCCGTACGGGGGATAGTGCTCACAGTGGCATATGCTGTGTAGATTATAATAAAGACATTTTGAAAAAACAAAATAATGTATGAACAAAAGGTTTAAGCTGTAGCAACTTATTTCATATATGAATTTCACAAATCTCCCTCTAATGAAAATGGTGACATCACCCAGGCGTAATGTGATTCTTCTTTCTTAACAGTAAAGCGGAGACACATCGATTTGAATCAGAAGCCACGGTTTCAATAGGAATTTGGAGGCAAATGTGAAATGCATCCTGCACAGTTGGTATGCCATAGCATGACAACATTGAATCTCGCCCGTCCCTGAGTAGTTATATACCCGAAAAACAGTTGGCAAGACTGCATTTTGAGAAATTTATTTGAATAAGAAGACAGAATTACAATAAGATTTACTACATTTTTCATGTCCCCTCAAGTGAAGTGTGATCGGTATACCTGCTGTGTAGCATTTATCTTGTATTTCAGTGGCCCTGGATGAATTATACCTCCAAAATACTATTGGAATTCTGGCTTTTTTTCTTCAAATGTATTGTTTTTCAGGTATAAAACCAATCTGGGCCAAGCTAGTTTCAGTGTTAACTAGTGTTTACTATGGCACCCCTTGTGCACAAAGCATTTCATGTTTGCCTACCCCAAGATGGGTAAGATCTCAAATAAATGTAAGTGCTGCTGCTTAAACCTTTTCTTTATATATTATTTTGTATTTTCAAAATGACTTAATTGAAATCTGCACAGCATGTGCCGCTGTGAGCACTACCCCCCATATAGAAACCGTGAATAAGAAAGCCTTTAACCTGGGCAGAAAGTGCATCGTTTGTACAGTAGGTCTTAATTAAACATACAGGGGGCATTAAATTAAAAAAATGTACAGAGAAATATCTTTTAATAATAATAATAATAATAATAATAATCAAAAAGATTCCGAATTGAATTACTTTTATAAAAAAAAACAGATTTTTGGAGCTTTCCATTTAGCATACAGAGTGCCCTCTGCAGGATCCTGTCGAAACAGCACCCTCTATTTAAGGTGGCACGGATCCTGCGATTAAGGATTTGGAGTATAACTAGTCAACTTCAGCCTATTGCTGGCAACACTCTTGTTTTAAAGTTAAATAAAATATTTAAATGCTTGTGTGCTGTGTACTGCAACTGTATAATTAGATTTTTCAGGTACAGTAAACCGCAGCTGGGCGGAATATTTTTCAGCGATCGAAAGTTAGGTGGTAGTGGAAGATTAACCTACAACGTTTCGGTTGCGCGAATGACCCTTAAATGTACACTGTTAAAAACGAAAATCAATTATTATTATTATTATTATTATTATTATTCATAAAGATTTCCCCCCTCGTTTATAGAACATTTTCAAGCAGGCTGTAGTGTCGCTTTTCTCCCCATGAGGGCAGTGTAACATTACTAACGTCTATCCTGCGGTCATCGTTATCAGGATAAATATTGGAAAAAGCATAGTGATAAAATAAAATAAAATAAAATAAAACAGTTTGTACTGTAAAGTATGCTCATAACGTTCTTAACTATATCACCTAATTACACATTCAGGGAATTCTTATCCAGAAAAGCTCATGGAGCTTAAGTCGTGTTGTTAGGTTATGCCGCCAAAATCCAAATACACAGCCTAAGTCACACATTTACAAGCATGTGTAAAATAATAACAATCCATCAGTCTTCCATAACTGCTTATGTAGTACTGGGTTGTAGTTAAGCCCAGAACCTAGGAGGAGTGCAACAAACACCTGGATGGGAGGGTAGTGCATCGCATGCAGGACACACAGGGAAAAGCTAAGCAAGACATGGAGGGCATGCAAATTCACCCACCCCACCCCCCCACACACACACACACACACCCACTCTATTATTGTTGTTGTTATTATTTCCGTAACCTTGGCAACGTTTTATTCACTAGTTTTGTCTACTACCCGAAATAACCCACTTTTCGGGAATGAGTACCATTTGTAAATTTCAAGCTGCTTATTTTTAGAGAATTAAGTTCAGTTTTAGCTCATCAAATTACAGAAAGCAGAGCTGCTGTTGTTCCAATGAGCTGTGGCGTTTGTGTGTGTGTGTGTGTTGGAGGGGGGGGGGGGCTTTTGTTCCCGAAAAATAACACTTCAGATAAAAATCAGCTAATTTTCTCAGCAAAGTGCTTCACTTTGCAAAAATAAATTGAATGTGTATTTCTGTAAACATAATGCTATTATCTGAAGTTGATTAAAAATGTTTTTTTTTCCACATTTTGACCACCTTCATTTGAGTCTGCAGAAATGAGAGTTCAGTACCCTTGAACTACAACTACAACACTAGAAGAACAATACGCTTTATTCTGGATTCCTGCCTTTGTTCTGGACTGTGAGCACAAACAACAATGTGCGAACAGTGATTGTGATTCGCCAGTTATTTGAACCAGATCATAGAACCAATGTTTGCTTTTCTAGGCAATAATGAAAGCCTGTGAGCCTTATGTTTTTAATTAATACTTCTCAGTAGTGAGTTTATATATGTGTGACATGATCAGAACTAACAGCATACAGTATAGTAAAAAACGTTCAGAATTTCGTGATCCGTGGTCATTGTTGACACACCACAACACACAACAACGAAATGTGCCCTCTGCATTTAACTCATATGTGACATTGTGAAGCTAATTCAGTTTCCGGGGACAGTACCTTGCTGGTCAGGGATTCAAACCAGCAATCTTTCAATTACAAGTGCGCTTCCTTAACCATTAAGCGTCCACTGTCCACAAGAAAGTTAGACGTCTCAGGAATATTTTTTTTTGTTACCTTAGTATAGGGACATTATCAACTACAAGGCTGCAAACATCAAGAACCACCCTTCCCACACTGGGAGTCGAAAACCAGGTGAAAACCAGGACTCCTAACCCCTAGATCTTATGGGATATAGGATGTGATTGTGACAGGCAGCATGATGCTTAACTGATTAACTGCTGTCAAAGGCCAAAGGGCTGTGAATTTTTATAAAATTAATAAATGGTAACGAAACAGTCATTTTAAACCTAGACAAAAACATACATATTCCTGGTCTCAGCTCGCTTCATATCTGCGCACCTTTACCTCCCGTTAAAGTATCTATTTCAGGAATGTTATTCAGTTTGTATGGCTGCCTTTGTTTTTGCTGCTGCTGCTCTGTGTTTTATGGTTTTTGTGTTAGATTGTATGTATTTGTATTTGTAAGCATTTGTGCTTTATAAATATAACTTATTATTATTACCATAATGGTCATTATCAGAAAGTAGGTACTTGCTTTAGTGGTTAGAAAATGTTATACAATAACCATATCATAAAAGTTAAAGGATCTGAAATTTTTTAAATTTGAAAATATTTTATGACTGGTACAATTAATGGTATTTTAAATCAGCTAAAGGAACAAACCCGACAATAATGTTTAAACGGAAGACATGCTACAATGTCATTTTGTCTAACAGAATTGAGTTCATGTTGGCCACAGTGTCCCTTGGATCATCCATCCATTTTCTATAGTGGCCTCAGCAGCGTTTCAGAGGTATGGAGCCCTTTCTGGAAGCAAAACGGAGAATAACCCAGTGCAGGGCTCACAAACCAGTCAAACACTGTGTACTGTGGGGGAAACCGGAGAACCCAGAGGAAACCCCATAATGACATGGGGAGAACATGCAAACTGCATATACATATATAGTATATATGTATGTATATAGTGGCCAAAATTGTGGAAACACCTAGTATTACGCTTTAAAAATTGCTACATGATTATTGGCAGTAATGCTTATAAATAATCAAAGAATGTTTACAAATATCATACACTGGATGATTAAGTAAGTGACTAGAGTAACTGGAATAAAGTTCTGCAATGTCTAAAAATTGGAAGTGTTTCCACTGTTTTGGTCACTAGTGTATATGGAGCCAGGATGAGATTCAAAACCCAGTCCCAGAGGTGTGAGGCAACAATGTTAATCACTGCACTGCTCAGTTCCTTGAAACTGCAATTGTATAATGTTTTTTTTTTCATCAACTTTATGCTATTGAACTTCACACCTACGCACAATGGAATAGGATCTATGACACATTTTACTGTATTAATAAAGGTGAGAGAAAAAATGATACACAATAGCCCATAATCTCACACTGTCTATCATCACAATTAACCCTTTAATATAAAAACTCATTAAACATAACTGCAAAAATGACATGCTGAGCCATTCATTATTCAGTTAGCGAAAGAACAGTAAAAATATGATGCATTCTCTATCAAAAGTGTCAAAAGTCAAGTGTTGATGTGTAGTGCTGTCAGTTTTCTGTTATACTTCCAAAGAAAATTCTTTTTCATAAAATTTCACCCAAAGTAACATAAGAAATATGATAACAGTGTTACGGTGCATCCATGCTTTATAACTTTTTTCATTCCATCATATATTTCTTATTTCTTCATAATAACTCAAATTAAAAAAAAAAAAATCACCTGAAGGAAAACAGACAGGCAGAGGGACCACCTATAGAAATGTCAGTGATATTTAATCTTTTTTTAATGTCTTTTACGATGCTCCTGATCTTATATGTTCTGTTGAGTTATGCTTTGTGTTACACGCATCATCCCACGTCTTCTCAGGTACAGAGTGAACTAGATTTTGAAAGTCTTCTATTCACTAACCTCAGCACGCCTTCGATATGCACCTCAGAGGTTCTGGGAT